ACCTTACTGTTTCTATTGGAATCCTATTGGGTCTTAATGTATTTTCCTTCTTCATCTTGTTTAGTCCCTCTTTACTTTAGTTGGCCTAACTCTATGAAGGTACATGTTATTTTTAACACTACTAGTATTGCTAGATTTTCTTTAACTAGAACTTTCTCCCTCTTGTTTAATTATTTAATAATTTTTCAAAATAGTTTTTCCATCTTTGTTTGATTTCCTCATCTTTTACTAAGACTTTTTGATCTTCATTTTTAATGCACATAATAAGGTTTAAATCTCTACCTTTCCTTTCTCTTAGCTTTTCTAGTTTATACATCCATTTTTTCTCCTTTTTTAGTGTTTAATTTATGGTAAAGTTCATCATAAGCCCTATATTTTATTTACTTTCTTTTTAATTTTTTTTATGGTTTTATATTTTTCCCTATTTTCATACATATTCTAGTTTTTTCCATTCTTTATAAATGTTCATTTTAATTTGATTATATTTTGAATATCTTCATTCCACCACCAAGTTTCTTAGCACTTTTCCATTTTCCTTTTAATTCTTTTGAGACATTCTGGGTTACTTTTTATTTATTTTTAAATTGTTTGTCATTTCAAGTCAAATATCATTAATCTTTTCCATCTAAATTCCCATGTCATTATGTTATTAACTTGTTTCTAAATTAAAATAGATTTTCTCCTTTTAGGTTTTTCTACCTAATTCATAGACACCTATTTTCTTCTCTATTTCTCTTTCATTTCCTAAGGCTCAGTTTGGAAAGAGTACAAATGTAAATATGTACAATACAAATACATACAAAATAATATAAATACAAGGTTTTTCACTCTACATATTTGTATTTGTACTCTTTCCAAACTTTGCCTAATGTGCACATTTACTACCATTAATCTATGTTATATTGTTAGGCTTTTTCTTAGGATAACTTTGTAATCTTTACACATCATACATTATGTTATCCTAATAAGGAAAAAATCTATTTATGTTTGATCCATTTTTAGATGTTATTAAGTGTTCATCATTTTTATTTTTTTTGGAAAAAAAAGTGTTTAAAATTTTCATGTCATAAGTTACTACAAAATCTAATATTTTACCTCCTCACTCATTCCTCTACCTAAACCCGAATTTTCCATGCACCATATCATATCCTATATTGCTTTTCTCCACATGCCCATCTAATTAAGTCTCCTCTTATAAAAAACTTCTCTTTATTTGGAATTTCTTTGATGAATTCTTCTAAATTTTTTCAAAATTGTCTTTTAATATTTTCTTCTAAACCCACTTGAGGTGCATAAGCATTAATTATACTAATAATTTTTTCACCTAAAACAAGTTGAATTAAAATTATTCTATCCTCAATTCTTTTAACATTTACAACTTCATTGTTTAAATCATTATCTACTATTGTCATTATACCATTTATATTATTTAACTTTCTCATATGTCATAATTTGTAACCATCAATTTCTTTAGCCCTTTTACCCTTTCATTTAGTACAAATTAGCCATGTATTTAATATTATATATTTATCATATTAAATGCAAATATGAAGAATACACATGATAAATGACAATTATTGCTATTAATGATAAAAAGACCTAAAAATATAAAAAACAAAATAAAAAAGAAACTAATGTCTAACTTATGAATAGGTTGGGATTTTTCTACACTCTAGTTTTTTTAATGGCACATATATTTTCTATTTTTCTTCAAATTTTCTAATTTAAAATTAAACAAAATAACTATATTGGCCAATCACCTTTAAGACTTTTAATGCTCCTCATTAACTCACCATTAAATCTCTCTCTTCTTTGTCAATAACTCCTTTAATTATACTTCCTCATAACTTAATGAATTTTAGGTAATATAATGGAGTAAAAGATAGGAGAGAAAATTAGTGGCATGATTATTTAAAGGAGAGTGTTAATGATAAAATTAATGATGAAAGATAATTAAAGGAGTTAATGAGGAAGAGTAGAGAGAGAGAGAAAGATAAAAGTCTTAAAGGTGATTGGACACTTGAGAGTTATTTTGTTCAAATTTGAAATTAGAAAAATTAAAAAGAAAAAAGAAAGGTGTCATTCAAATAATCAAAAAGTAGGAAAGTACTAGCTTGGCTCATTCTATTTTAGTATATATATATATATATATATATATATAGATGTTATACACATTAGATATATTTAAATTAAGTTATAATTATTAATAAAAATTATTTATATTGAAATGATGACATTCAATAATATATTATTAGGCTAAGTACTCTATTTCCATTTAAACGGTAGTTAATTAATCAAATAATTTGTATTTCAGAATAAATATTATTTACTTCACTTAACAAATAAAACTAGTGTTTTTTAAAAGCTAACTTGGAGGTTGAATAGTTTTTGCCTATAGGTCATGGGTCAACAGTTTAAGTGTCTAAGTTGGATAAGTCAAACTATATGACACATCAACCATCTGTTTATCTATAATATAATATAATATGCTGCCATATAATATAATATAATATAATATTAACTTAGGTCCAATTTGTACTTTTAATTTTAGTTTTTATTCTATTATAAATAAAAGAGATAAAAATTGAAATTTCAAGTCAAAAGTTAAGTTTTTTTTTTGTATACTAGGGCTACAAGTTCATCAAAAGTTATCCAAAATAATAAAAGATAACCCTAATCAAACAACCAAGTACAAAGTTAAGTTCTCCAAAAGTATTAATAGATTATATATTGTAATATTGAAAAAAGATTAGATTTGCATCATTTTACTTCACTTCAACCTTTTTATCTTATTTCATCTAAGAAGATTAGAGAGAATTGCTCTTTGAAAGTTGTAAGACAGAATAAATCTGTGGAGGGTGTAGGTACATGTAGATCACCATTGTAGAGAATGCGATGAGGACCATAATAATACAAAGGCAACCATGATATATAACCTCCGATGAGCATTATATGCATTGCCAAAAAATAACATAAGGTGCAATCATAGAACCTTATGATCATCTAGAAGCACATGACAACTGCGGTGACACTTGTGGTGTCACCTGCGAACAAAAATTGTGGTTGTCATCCAAGTTTATACAAGACTGATAGTAGATCCTTCAATGCGGAAAACCACAATGTAATTCTATTACCTATGAGTGTTGCAATATTTGAAAGGACCTCACCTTCAACTCTTAACTACAAGTAACTTAAAAGGGCTTTAGCTATAAGAATGCCCATGTGAGAGTCTTAGGAGACAAGAAATTCATATCCCAAGAGATTCTCATTGGACATGTGGTGAAACCCTAAAGAGCTTACCCATTATGTACCTAGGGAATTAGAACCACCTTTTTGAGATAGGAAAGTTCCTTCTTATCGTTTTGTGTCTCTCTTTATAGCTACACCTATTCATTTATAAAATGGAGGGGCCCAAAGGCCTCCCCACGAGACCATCTTAAGACTATTGAGAGAGTTCTTGCTCCCCTACTTCCTTGATCAACATCCTTACATTCCTTTCACCAAAACATTTCTTTATCCCATACACTCTCAGTCATCTTTTGTCTTTCAAGGAGACCATCCTCTGTTGTCTTACCCCTAACCCATAGAGGGTAAAGTTAAATCTTTAAATTGTGTATGATAATACTTTAACAATTATAAGGGTATTTTAGTAACTTCAACATTTTTGTTATCGAGAAGTTAATGAAAAAGGAGGTATTTGCACTTTTTTCAAAATTATAGGCTCAATTTGGAAGGAGTACAAATACAAATATGTACAATACAAATACATACAAAATAATATAAAGTATAAGGTTTTGAGCTCTACATATTTGTATTTGTACTCTTTCCAAATGGAGCCATAGTGGAAGTTTTTGTTACAATCAAAACATAAGGGTGGTTTATAGGATTGTTATAAAAGGAGTATTTTTTATAATTTTACCTAAAAAATAATATGAAATAATAACAAATCAATAAAACTTAAAAATTAATAAAATATTAACATTAAGCTACAACAAATAATACAAGTTTATTTAGACAATAGGAAATGACTACTCTAACCAAATCACAACTTGGATTGTGATAGGATAAAATAGACATAATCCAAAATATAATGCTTGAATTGGACTTAGATGGTCACCACTTAATTGGAAATGTTATAGAGCTCCTTCTTTAATTTTGCTTAATAAAACCATTCATGGCATGTCTCCATTATTCTATTTACAAGTTGGGCATATGATCTTGGGACAAATTTATGGCCGAAAGATGTGGGATAATGTTGGGAGTTTTATTGGAAGCAGATTTGAATTGATCCTAGGTGGGGATCTACTACCAACCAATGCTCTCAATGATGTTCCAATAGGCCACTAGAGGTTTTCTTGGGAGATGTTCCTAATGTGCAATTGTAATAACTTGTTGAGACAGTAATGGGAGTATTTATTGGTAGCAGATCTCAACTTGTCTTAGGCAGGGATTTACTACCAGCAATGCTCACAACCTGTCCCAACAGGTCAATGCAGCTGTACATATTGGTAACTATCTCCTTCGTCATTTATGGGAGATGTCCCTAACGTACGACTGTAATAACATGTTGGGAGCGTTTGTTAGTAGTAAATTTGAACTCGCCCCATTCCTAGACCCCAGTGAAGGCTGATTGTGAGACAGGATGGGATACGTGCGTCTTATGGGCGCCTTACATCACATCCAAACTGTGCATYGAGAACAACTCCCAATGACAATTAGAGAGGTGTTCCCAATACACGCTTAGATGTGCATGTAGGGCGCATTTGGGGCTCGCTGTGGGAATGGGATCTGCTTCTCACACATGGGTGCTCACAGGTACATCCACTGTGCATTAGGAATATCTTTCGTGAATAATAACTTATAACTTATACACGGTAGGATGTGCGTGTGAGGTCGGTGTGAGGCGCCCAGAGTGAAGAGCAGATCTAGTCTCCGTGCGGTGTGGGGCGCATTGCCCAATTGGCAACTTCGCACCTCCATTTTTGGAGTCTGTTGCTCTGACATAGATAAGGGGAACGATAAGGGCGGGTGGATAATAAAATGGTACAGCAAGCCGAGTGAGCGAGAGTGTCGAGACCGGAGAGTGTACTCTGAGCGAAAGAGAGAGAGAGGAGAAATCATGTCTGGTTCTCTTTCCTTCCTTCACAGTGCGTTCGCTTCTTCACAACAACTCACTCTTGGACCCAAATTCATAGCAGCGAAAGCAAGTCCATCTCTGGTTATTGAAGCAAAGGCCACAACCAGGAGGGAAGACAGGCTTGCTCGACATGCCCGTATTAGAAAGAAGGTATAAATTCTTATTTCTCCTCTCATTATTCATAAACGATGACCTTAAACGAAATTCTCCGCTTATCAGAAAGAATGTCTGTACTGCTCTATTTGTTTCAATTCCTTGTTATTTGAACTGGTTATTACTTTATTTTCTTTAGGGACCAACTCGAGTTTCTCACGCTGTATGAACTTCTCGTTAATTATTAATTTCTTCTTCTTCTTCTTCTTCTTCTTCTGTCTAAGATTCTTGTTCATTTTTTTGGTGGATAAATAAACATTGGCATTAAGAAAGAGAAATAGATACATGATACATCATAGTCCAGAGCCTTAGCCAACAAGGAGGAGTTTGAAGCCAAGTTTCCTCACTTGAAAAACCTTTAGCTTGCAAGGCTACAGCTTGAGTGCCCCTTTTGTGATGCCTATTTATATGTTCAAATTATGCATTTACAAAGAGTTTACAAACCGTATTAACAAAGTCTAAAGCCACATCAGAAGACCGAGGAATCCCATTCCTCCCATTACTTAAAGCATGATCACCACCTGGGAATCGGACAAAATCAAAATATTTTGGATTCCCTGGTTTTGGCTAACCACAGGCCATCCCATTCATTTGGGATTTTTGTTTCACTGATTGTGATAATTTAGCTCAAATTAAAGATATCCATTTTACATACATAAATTGTTTTGAAGATGCCCAACTTACGCATAAATGTCCACGTATCCACATAGGAACATCTGCATTGCTTTGTTTGTTTCTAAGTCCCTGTTAGTTAAGTTGGTTATTGCTTTTTTCACCCTTACCCAGATTTAAGATGAACATTTTTACATTAAGTCATAAACTAGTAAATATGTACTGATCTTTCAAAGTGAAATAATCATTCTTACAGAGTTACTATCTTATCGTCGAATATAATGCTCAAGTGGGTCCTTAGTCCTTTGTTGTCCCAATCATCTCAACTTCAGCATCTTTATGTTGTGTCTGTGTTGCATAACCTGTCCTGCATGGGTCCAAAACAAAACCTTTCAATACAGTTCTGCGTTCTCCAGAAAAGTGTCCATATGAGATTAATGGATGGAAATTCCATTTCTTTCGGACTGATTAAATATGATCAAAAGAAATCCATGTAATTTACAATTTACTGAATTATAGATAGGTGGTGGACCAATTACCTGAAGTGGAATGGGAGAACTATAATTAGGGAGACCGCTTCTCTTACCAGAGCCACTGCCTTTAACCATAGTTGTCAAGGCAACGCCTAGGGGCGACAAGGCACCATTAGAGGCTTGCCTCACCTAATTGCCAAGCAATTTTGAACATTGTGTTATAAAATGCTTTTATATTCTTAATTTTTTGATATTATAATTATAAAGTAGACATTATTAAACTAAAATATTCATTTTTGTGTGTTTACATGTTAATTTCTTTTTATTATTTTCTTATTTGTTAGGGTTTAATCAACACAAATATTGCTAAATGCTGTATTGAACACTCAAAGACTTCAAAACCTGAACCAATAAGTAAGGAAGAACTTAAAAATTTGTCTAATCAACACATTTCTCTCTTCTTCTTCTTCTTCTTGTTCCACCTTTTCTTTTCTTATTTTCTTATAACAAAAATAGGGGTTCAGCCCTTAAATTTTTTGAATTTATTTATTTTTCTTCCTTTTCTTCTCATGAATATGTTGATTTTCTAACTTGAACATGAAATTTATACTTTTCTACCCTAGGATATATGTTTTTTACTTTAAAAAGTTTATCACCTAGGCGACAAGGTGCCCCCCTGTCGCCTAGCCTTGCTTGGCACCTTGAAAACTATGCCTTTAATCAAGAATGTGGGATTCCCTTCTGGAACATGCGGGGGAAGTTGGAGAGAATTTGAATTTCCATGAAGAACAATGTTCTTGAGCTCGATCTGACCGTTATTAAGAAAAGAGCTCTGTCTGACCTGTTAATTATTCTGATTTGAAACCTGATTTGCTATTCAGATCTATGCTTAGCTCGTAATTAATAATAAAGAATATCTTTGTATCTGCAATAACTACAAATACAAAGCAGAACACTTATGGTTAGATAAATATGTTAAAAAGAGAAACCATGAAGAGGATATGTTTGCTATGAAGTGATTAAAGAGATAACCCCATTACCACTGAAGCACATGACAATGGAAAGCAGTGAAGTTTGTGGAACCAAACCTCTGGGTGGCCCACAACACAGATAAATAACCATATATTGCTTTTTGATTATTAAGGAAGGTCAAAACTGTCTGCATTTGAAATTTAACCTACAGATTGGCTTGAAAGTATAAGATGTTTAGTGGAAAGAGAAGCAGGTGATACCATGTCAGGGGTAAAAAAAGAAAGACAACACAAAGGATTCAATAGAGATGGCGTTTGTGTTATCCTGTTAAGATAGCTTATAGAAATAGCAGTTACTTGACTGCGTCTGATGAGGATTTTATGTTTGCTGAGAATATTATATATATATATATATATATGGTGTTTGTGTTATCCTATATATATACATATATATTACTTCTTGTAATACAAGAGAGGTAGCCAGATTTCTAATGGATGAAAATGAGACATCAGTTTTTACCTTGCCTTACCTAAAAAAAAATACAGTAAAATTTCAGTCAGGGCTTATTCATTTTCTTCTTATAAATAATTTGATCTTTCGATTCTACTTTCTATAGACCTCACAAGACATGTGGGAGATTTTATATACCAAAATATTTTCCTTCTAGATTTAGTGAAGTAGAAATTTAAGATCTTTCTGTCCCCCCCCCCAAAAAAAAAAAAAAAAGAAAAAGAAAAAAATGAAAGAAAGCTAATTCAGATATGTTAGGCCACTTTGAGATCTTACCAAGCAATGGAATCTTACTGACTTTGAATTCTGATTTTGTTTGAATGATGCATGTATTGCTTTTCAACAATAAAATTTCTTTGAAAAGTGTGCTAGCTAGTCTTCCAACTTATTTTTTGAGCCTCTTTCCTATTCCCTCAGAGGTCGCAAAGGAATAGGAAAAAAAGATGAGAAATTTTCTCTTAAAGGCTGGAAAGACTCCCATAAGTACCATTTGGTGAGCTGGGAACAAATCTGCAAACCCCAATCTCAGGGTGGGCTGGGAATAAAACATTTAAAGTTATCCAACCTTGCCTTATTGGGAAGCTGGCTGTGGAGATTCTCAACTGAGCCAAACAAGCTCTGGAGGAAGGTTATTGAGGAGAAATATGGCTTAAGGAATAATGGGTGGGTAGGGGTGCTCACAGTTTGGTTAACTGAACCTTGGGCCTAAATTCCAAACTGAACCGACAGTACCAGTTTCTGGAAAACCGGTAACCAAAACCGAACTGAAGATTGATTAATCAGTTGATTGGTTTGGTTCGTCGGTTTTTTGACTTTTTTGACTTTATAAAATATAATGTAAATAAATATATAATACAAAAATAGAAATACATATAAAACATTAATTATAAATAATAAATAATATATTATATATTATAAATAATATATATATAGATAATATAAAATATATAACATACATAAATATATGTACAATATATATATATATATATATATACAGCTTGGTTAGGTTAACCACCAGTTCTTTATATTGGTTAACAGAAATCGAACCGTTAGCTTCGGTTTTTCAAAAATACCGAACCAGTCGGTTAACTTGAATTTTCGGTTCGGTCTCGTCGGTCCGATTCGGTTTTTCTTGCTCACCCCTAGTTGTGGGGTGTGGAAAGGAATCTGCAAGGTGTACAGGCAATTCATCAGGTGTCTCAAATTTAAAGCGGGAGATGGAAGAAAAATCAGATTCTGGTTGGATCACTGGACTGGTGATAGCATTCTAAAAGAGAGGTTCCCTGCCTTGTATAATGTGGCTTCAGATGAGGAGGCCTTAGTGACTGGTTCTCTCTTGATCCAGGAAGGTAGGCTGTGCTGGGCTCCTCCCTTTAGGAGGAGCTTTAATGACTGGGAAATTCAGCATGTTGCAGATTTTCTTGCTCTGTTATAAGACCAGCAGCTAAATTTTCATGTGCAAGATTCAAAAGTTTGGAAGTGGACCAAATCTGGCAAATTTACAGTTAAATTCTTCTACAATTTTCTAGTGGGGGAGTCTGAAATCCGTTTTCCCAGTCAGGCCATTTGGGGGAATTTGGCTTCTCCAAAAGTCAAGTTTTTTGTTTGGGTGACAGCTTTGGAGAGGTGCTTGTCCAAAGAGATGTTGCTGAAAAAAGGCTTTAACATGTCAGATTTGATGTGCTGTTTTTGCAATATGGAAGTAGAATCCTCTGGGCATCTATTCCTTGACTGCAAGTTTAGTTCTGCAGTTTGGACCCACTTCTTGAAAGCTCTGAATCTAAGTTGGTGCATGCCAGCCTCAGCTAAAGTTCTGTTGGAGGAATGGCATCTACAGGGGCTATCTAAGAAAGGAAAGATCTGCTGGTCTTCCATCCCTCTGACAGTTCTCTGGGCTGTGTGGTCAGAAAAGACCAGAAGGTGGCAACAGAGGTGTTAGAAGTAGGAAGTTTGAGGATTCCACTTGTTGTTTGCCCTGTTCTGGAAGCAGAGAAGAGCAAGTGGTTTTTCGAAGATGCAAGGTCAGGGTCTTGTGGTGTAAATTTGATAAGTTCTAAGCTCCCTGATTGAAAAGGAAAGGGGATTTAATTAATGAACTGAGTGGGGCCGGTCCAAAAGATAAGGTTTTGTATGTTGGACCAAGTGGGTTCAGGCCAAACCAGTGTTTTAAAAGGCATGGGAGGCGTACGCCTGGAGGCGCGCCTCCAGGTGAGGCGCTCCTAAAACGCCTTGAGGTGTATGGCAGAGGCATTGACACCTCTGAGGTGTATGCCTCAGGTGCAGGAGGCATACGCCTCTTACGCTTTTTTCATGAGGCGTGCTAGAGGCGTACGCCTCATGCGCCTCATGCACATCTTATATAAAAAGACAAAAAAAAAGGAAAAAGAAAAAAAGGAAAGCAAAGGAAAGGAAAAGAAAGGGAAGGGAAAG